CCCCAAAACCCCAAAACCCCAAAACCCCTCAGCTCAATATTTAATAATTTAGAAAAGTTTGATATTTACTAATAGTATTATATACATTGATCACTATGTCAAAGAGTAAAGGTTAAGTAGTTGCAAATAAAAGCAAAAAGACTCTATTTGAAGAGGAAGAAGACATCAACTCTGATGGACTAAAGATTAATACAGAGTTTGCTCGCAAGTTTGAACATAATAAAAGAAGAGAATTATTAGAATAAGGAAAGGAAAAGTATGGTGAGAAAGCTTTGAGAGATAATGATGGAAGTGATAATGAATCAGAAAGTGAAGAGGAGGAGGAAGATGAAGAGGCAGATCTCATTAATCCCCATTTTGAAAAAAAGTTCTTGCAGACACTTACCATGATAAGAAATAATGATCCTAAATTGAAAGAAATAAAAGATGAGTTGTTTAAAGATGAGGATTTCGATGATGAATAGGATTAAAAGCGTGATATAAAGAAGAAAGATAAAAAGCTCACCTATAAAGATCAAATTAGATTAGATGCTCTTAAAGGTGATGTGTCGAGCAGTGATGATGAGAAAAATTCTAATCTCTTCAAGAAAAAGAAAGGTTAGGTTGAAACTCTGGCTGAGGAGGAAACTAGACTTAAAAATGAATTCAAGAAAGCAGCCAAGGTTGATGGTAAACAAAAAGCAAAACCTGATGATGAAGAGTCTGAAGATGACTTCCTGAAAAAGAAAAACTCAGAAGAAGATGAGAATGATGAAGAAATTCCTGACAATATTGAGGGACTTAAACTTGATGAGATTTTAAAGAAAAAGAAAAAGAAGAAGGAAATGAACTTAGTTACAGATTAAGAGCTATTGTAGAGATTTTGGGGAGATGATGCAAAGCTAGATAGCAAAGACAAATTCTTAAGAAATTACATTTTGCTTGAGGGTTGGAAGGACAAATTCAAGGGATTAGGTAAAACTCAGGAATAAATTGATAAAGAGGATGAATAGCGTGACAAGGAAATGGAAGAATATGAAGAGAAATATAATTTCAGATTTGAAGACTCAACGGGTAGATATATTACTACTCATGCTAGAGATGTTCCCGATTCAATGAGAAGATAAGAGAGTAAGAGAAAAGACTAAAGATAAGATAAAAAGGAAAGAATCGAGGATGAAAAAAGAAGAAAATAAGAGGAGATTAATCAACTTAAATAATTGAAGAGAGATGAAATTCTAGAAAAATTAAGAAAGGCTGAGTTTTTGTCAGGTTATGATCACAGTTAATTAGAGGAAAGAAAACTATTGGAAAAGGCTGAAAAAGAACTTAAGACAGAATTTATTCCTGAACTTTACGATAGAACTATGGAGAAAATTTTTGATGAAAAGTACTATGAAATGGATGACAAAAAAGCTAAATATTTTGAAAAGGAAAAATCTCTTAATCTTAGATTAATGAACGATGACGATATCAATGAGGATCAAGATGAAGAAATGGAGGAGGGAGAATAAGAGCATGATAGTGAAGACGATAAAAAAATTATGAGGAATTACGAGCAGGAATTAGCGAAATCAGTGAAAAAATAAGTCAAAGACAAAAAGAAGATTGTTGAGGAAGATCTTGAGGATGTCTAAGATTATGATACTTGGTATGCTTGTGATGGATGTAACAAGGCTATCGACGCAGGTGAATTCAGATTTGATTGCAATACCTGCGACAATTTCACATTCTGTGAGAAATGTTATAAAAAGAATAAAACTCATCTTCACAAATTCAATAGAGCAAAAGTTCCTATGCAATAAAAGCCTCCAAAGAACAATAAGGATCTAATAGAGAAAGCATATATGCTTTGCCATACTTGTGGTGAATGCCTTTTAGAAGCTTCTAAGAGAGTTTATATTTGTAAGGAATGCTCAAAAGATTTTGAGAAAGGTGATATAATGTACTTCTGTTTGAAGTGCAAGAATGCTGAAAAGCATCCAGATCATAAATTGGAGAAGCTTAAGGTCCTACCTGGTGAATCAGCTGCTGCCAAGCTAATGAATAAAGATAAAGATAAAATGACTGAAGAAGAAAAGAAGGAGTATCTAGAATAATTATTAGATGATTATTATAACCTAGAGTTTGAAGATGTAATTGGTGGCGGTTCAGTTAAAACTAGATTTAAATACACAAAAGTAGCAAAAGCAGATTTTGGTCTAACTGAGGATGAAATCCTTCTTTTAGATGATTTACAACTAAATAAAATGGTTTCGCTCAAAAAGTACAGAGCTTACATTGATTTACAAAATGAAAAAGATGAATAAGAATAAGAAACCGAAGGACCATATGAAAAAAGAAAGAGAAATGAAATCGAAGGTAGTGTTAATGTTCATCGTGTGAGAAATATTAAGAAACATTATAAGCAAGAACTCGAAGAAAAGAAGGTAAAATTTGTAATATTTTTATATATTTTTTAGAAATTATTGAAGTAAGCATTGCTTACTAGTGTTGAACAAGAAAAGGAGAAATACTTTAAGGGTTCATAAGCTGCTTAGGATATGAGAGACAAAAATGCAAGAGAAATGAGCAAAAATAAACAGAGAAAGCAAAAGAGATAATAGGGTGAAGAAAATCCTGAAGATATTCCAGAATCAGTGTCATAAATTGAGGATGAAAATACAGCTAAAAAGAGAAAGAGACTTGCACTCTATGGTGTTAAATGATACATAAATCAACATAGTGATTTATTAACCTCTAATTAACTTATTTTAATTTTTAAATTTATTATTGATAATATAAAATGAAAAATAATCAAACAGACAATATAACCAGCAAATCTCCTTTCTCTTTAGCATCTTAAAATGATGAAAATGATGATATTTTGCAAACATTTCAAGATTTCAAAAATATTTGTCAAAGCTTAAGTAATTAATTAAGTTATCAAGGAAACAATAATTCTTCCAGTTAAATGTTAGTACAAGAAAATATCACACCTCAATTATCACCAGAAAGAAAAACATAAACAATAGACTTAAAATAAGATAATTAGCTACAGTTCACTGTTGAGAAGCTCTTTGGAACTCATCGACTTAATAGTAATCTGAATTAGAATGAAACTAAAAGATCATCTAGAATAGAGTAATCTCCTAATATAGATTAGTATTACTTTTCAGAGACTTAGAGAGATAGTAAAGCCTCATTAGGTAATTCATAAAACATATAAGAAAAAAGTTATTAAACAGCCAGGAATAGCAAGGTTTTCTCAATCAGTAATTAAAAATATCTCACATAATAAATTTAGAAAAAATTCAAGCCTAACAATACAAGTTAATCTTCAAAATAAGATTCAAAAGAAACTTCTTAATCTAGATCTAAATCAAATAGTAAGCCAGTAAAATCATCAAGGTCAACTTCTAAGTCCTCAATGATATAGTAAAAAGTGAATTAAAAAACACAAAAATCTAATAAAAAGATGAGTGATGATACTTTTTAATCTGAAGCATATAGTGATGTTAAGTCAATAGATCAGCCAATAAATTTGAATCCTGGAAGATAATTTTTGATAAAGATTAGTGATTAACTCCAAAAATTTTTAAGTTCGGGATAGAAAATAGAGCTTTAGTAAATTTAGTAGATGGCTTCTTAGGTAATGACAGTATTGAGCAAATTTCGTGATTATGATAGTGCTAAAGAAATAGCTTAAATTCTGCATAATTTGATTTAGCTAGCGTTTTGAGTTTTTGAGGAAACTGAGCAGAGTAGAAGGTAAATAAATAATAACTAATTACAAACAAAATATGAGAACTTAATAAGTGATATCCAAAATAAAGATTTGGATATTCTAAGTCTTCAAGAATAATTAAAAGATATGAATCATAAGCTTTAGTAAAGTGAAATCAGATTTTAACAATAAAAGCATATGCATGAAAGCCAAATTTAAAAAATCAGCGATGAATAAAATGCTCTAATAAAAACATAAGAGACTTAGAAAACTCTACTCAAGTAAAAATTCCTCAAGACATTTGAATAATAACTTTAGGAAATCTAAACTCACAAAGACTTGGAGTTTCAAGAACTCAAGTAAGATCATGTAAAGTAAATGAATGTTTTTCAGTCAAAATGTGAGAAACTCATCAAAGAATAGATTATTAAGATTCATGTTTGTCAGGAAAATATAAAAAGAGCAATATTATAATCTTAGAATAAGACTATTGATGAATTTATCTAATAAAATATGAAAAACAAACAATAGACATTAAAGGATGACATTGTAGTAGATATTTACGTTGATGCTATCATAAATGCTCTTAAAAAGAAAGATATTGAGACATTTGATTTGCAGCAAAAGCTTTTGCAATACTCAGAGATTTATAACACCAATGATTTTAAATCAAAGTAAATGGAGAAAAACTTCAATAAGATTAAAAAGTTCATTGTAAACTAAGGGGATATATTGAGCACTGAGCTGGCCTAGATATAAACTAAAAACTCAGGATAGTATAATTTAATTGAAGAGGTGTTATGTAAGAGAGTAAATAAGTACCTTGTAAGTGTGAAAGATTTTATAAATTAGTTTAAACTATGAATACAAAAATAAATTAATTCCTTAACTTAGATTGAGTTTTAATTTAATTTGTAGAATAGTTGTGTAAATATACTATAAAATGCGTAATGGGGTTTTGGGGTTTTGGGGAGATCGGAAGA